TGTAGTCCAGACCAGGTGAGGATGGCAGATTTCCTTCCCTGAAGGACATTAGTAAACCAGATAGGTTTTTCCGACAAATGACAATGGTCACGTAAGGAGCTCAATAGCCCCTACGGTGGGCAGATCCCCCAATGCTTCCTTCATATTCTAAGTATGAAGTCCTGCCTTCATACTGAGAATACCCTCCATCGTGTGGTGTGGCCCTATCACCGTGCTGAATAGGACAAACTGTGAACAAATCTAGTAACTCAAGACTGGGCATCCACGAGGTGCCGTGGGCCATCAACAGCAGTAGAATTGTACTCGAGCACAAGCTGTAACCTCATGGCCTAGCACATGCCCAACTCAACCATTACCATTAATCAAGGTGATCCATCTGGCCTCTTCCACTGGACCCCAGCATCACAGATGCCGGTCTTGAGCCAATTTCATTCACTCCATGTGATATAAAGAAATGATTGGAGGCACTGGATACTGCAAAAGGTTATGGGCGCTGACAACATCCTGGCAATAGTATTGAAGACTTGCGCTCCAGAACGTACTGGTCCCCTAGCCAAGCTGTTTCAGTACAGTTATAACAATGGCACTTGCCCAATGATGCGGAGAATTGCCCAGGTAAGTTCTGTATGCAAAAAGCAGGACAAATCCATACCCAGCCAGGTACTGCTCCATCAGTCTACTCTTGGAACATCAGTAAAGTGATCAGAAGAGATTTACCATGATGTTGTCAGATATGCAAGGTTTGAGTCATTAAGAAAGGCAGGATAGGCTGGGACATTTTTTCACTGCAGAATAGGAAGTTGAGAGGTGATCTTATAAAGGCTTATGGTCGGTGTCTTTTCCCTAGGATGAGGGAATTTCAAGACCAGGGGGGCATATTTTTTAAGGTGAAATGAGAGAGATTTATAAAAGACCCATGGGGGCAAATTTTTTACACAGAGGGTGGTTCATGTGTGGAATGAACTTCCTGAGGATGTGGTCAATGCAGGCACAGTTACAATGTTTAAAAGGCATGAATAGGAAAGGTTTGCAGGGATATGGGCCAGGAGTAGGCTCGAGGGACTAGTTTAATTTGGGATTATGTTCAGCACAGACTGGGTGGACTGAAGGGTCTATTTCCATGCTGTATGACTTTATGACTCTATGACTAAGCAGCACCTGCTCAACATTAACCTGCTTCAGTGATGCCCGGTTTAGGGATTATAAGAGCAGGTCAGAGGCTAGGAATATTGCGGTGGGTAACTCACCTCCTGACTTCTCAAAGCCTGACCACCAATTTCAAGGCACAAGTCAGGAGTGTGATGAAATACTCCTCACTTGCCTGGATGGGTGCAGATCCAACAACACTCAAGAAGCTTAAAACCAGAAACAAAAACAGAAATTGCTGGGAAGCTCAGCAGATCTGGCAGCATCTGTGGAGAGAAATCAGAGTTAACGTTTCAGGTCCAGTGACCCTTCCCCAGAACAGCTTAAAACCATCCAGGACAAAGCAGCCCATTTGATTGGCACCACATCCACAACAATCCATTCCCTCCACCACCAGCTCTCACTAACAGTAGTGTGTACTATCTACAAATTGCTCAGCACAAATTGACCAAAGATCCTTAGACAGCAACTTCCAAACCCACAATCACTTTCGTCTAGAAGGACAAGAGCAGGGTGTAAATGGGAACGCCACCAACTGCAAGTTCCTGTCCAGGCCACCCACTATGCTGACTTGGAAATAGTTCACTGTTCCTTCCTTATTGCTGTGTCAAAGTCCTGGAATTGCTTCTCTAAGGGCATTGTGGGTCTACCCACAGCACATGGACTGCAGTGGGTCACGAGGGCAGCTCACCACCACCTTCTCAAGGGCATCTAGGAACAGGCAATAAATACTGGGCTGCCACCAATGCCCACATTTCACAAGTGAATAAAGAAAACAGAGGTAACCTGACAAGCTTTTCTGCATAGGCTGGTGTCGGGGACATGGGGGTTGGTACAGCAAACTTTTTATTAACCAGCACCTATGGGAACAGGAGTGTGCCAGTTGACAAATATTCCAGTTGATCAAGAGGAATGCCTAGTCAATGTAAAAATGCACATTTCGTAATAGAAACGTTATACAGGGATTATACGCATCACTGTTATACTTCATTTACAGCATTAATTACTTAAATAATAATGCATCTTTGCCTTAAATAAAATTTACTAGCAGACAGCCTCTCACCTGCACACTCAGTGACTACTCAGACATCACAGTTGATCATGATAGTATAGTAAACTACTGGCGTTTCAATATGTATTTTTTTTCTGGTCTATTGAGAGTGCTGGTTCATAACATGCCGGTTAAAACAAGTTAGCTGCACAGGTGACCTCCTGTCCCCACCACAGGCAAACCACCTCAAGGTCATATCCCTTCTTTGACCCTCCTCTACATCTCTCAAACTCCTGAATTGCCCACCCCCTAACCTCCGCACCCCCCGCTCCAATCAGCCTTGCCTCCATAACCACATGTTCTCTGCGAACTGCCTGTTGTCTCAGTAATGGCCACCACTTGAGCTTGTCACTGCTGAGACGACGGTGCCATCAGACAATCAGGTTTACCAGCAGCCCTCAAAGGCAGGTTTTGTCCCAATGAGAAAAGGAAGTTTTGCTCGAGCCCATTAATATCCTGCCAAGCATAAAATTTCAATAGGGCAGTCAGCTCTGTCGGGGGCATCACCTCCAAAACTCAGATCCCTAACCTTACACTGTCCTCCTCTCTTATAGCTCTCTTTTCATTTATAGAATCATAGAGACATACTGCACAGAAACTGACCCTTCAGTCCAACTTGTCCATGCCGACCAGATATCCCAAATTAATCTATTCCCACTTGCCAGCATTTGGCCCATATCCCTCCCAACCCTTCCTTTCCGTCCAGGTGCCTCTTAAGTGTTGTAATTGTACCAACCTGCACCATCTTCTCTGGCAACTCATTCCATAAATGCACCACCAACTGTGTGAAAATGTTGCCCCTTTTAAATCTTTCCCCTCTCACCTTAAACCTGTGCCCTCTAGTTTTGAAACCTTCCATGGTGTCCATGCACCATAGCTGTCTTCATCTGTGAGTCCATGCTTGCAGTCCCAGCAGCATCTACTACTCATTTCTGACTCTTCTGGAACTGCTACAGCAACCAAATTGGCTTGAGTGTGAGACATCTTCCTACTGAGGAGTAGACTCTCTGCACTACATTCTCTGCTTGTTTAGCTCTCATTGATAAAGCGGCCCATTTGTTTGGCACCTCATCCATAAGCATCCATTCCCCCTCCGCCACCAATGCTCAATCACAGCAGTGTGTACTATCTGCAAGGTGCACTGCAGAAATTCACCGAAGAGCCTTAGACAGCACCTTCCAATAAGCTGACTGATTGACCAGAAGGGCTGTGTTCCCCAAACTTCTGCCAATTTAAATGACAGTACAACTGCAAATGACCAAACACAGTTATCTAGGCCATGCACAAAGTGGTTTACATACCAAAGATTTAGGAAGTTGTGACTTAGTCAAACATAGGCAGGCAAATTCTTTCAGCAGCCAAATCACAAAAGCGATGATAACTGCACCTGCAATGAAAAGTAGTGCTGCTACCAAAGGCGCAATCCACATTATATCTGCAAAAGAAATACAGGCAAATTTATGACCTCTATTAGAAACTTGGTGAATAGCAGCAGGAGTAGACCCTTTCCTTTGAGCCTGCTCTGCCATTCAATATGATCATGGCTTATCATCCAACCCAATAGCCTGTTCCTACTTTTCCCCCAATATTCTTTGTGCCCCAAGTTCTACATCCAATTCCTTCTTGAAATCAATGTTTTGACTTTGACTGGTTTCCATAGCAGAGGATTCCACAGGCTACCCAATATCTGGGGAAAGAAATTGCACCTCATTTCAGGCCTAAATGGCTGTCCCGCGTCCCTTTGCTGTGACCCTGGGTTCTAGACCCGCCCACCATCGGGAACATCCTTCCTGCATCTACCCTGTTAGGACTTTATAGGTTTCTGTGGGATTCCCTCCCTCATTCTTCTGAACTCCAGCGAAAACAATCCTAACCAAGGAAGGGACACTACCATTATGTTTCACGGTCGTCATCAGCTTATGCGTTATTATGAATAGATGTGCACTGTTCCCAGTCTATGTATTGATCACATTAATTCCAGCTAGGGAAATTCAGGTAGATGGATAGCTAGATAAACAGACAGATAACCACTATGGAAATTACTGTTACAACCCTTTCGAATACACAAAGGCCAACTGTTCTTTTTTTTAAGTCGTTACATTTAATAATTTTTTTGTAAATTGTGTGGCTTGTAATCTCGTTATCAGTGAGAAAGTCCTGGGAGCTCCAGAGAAAATGGGCAGAATTGGGTCAAGAGGAAGGTTAAAAGGATTAAAAATCTGAATCTTCTCCCCCAATCCTGCCCAGTTTTAAATGATGAGAGCAGCCAATCAATTCACAGGAAGGAAGTTGGTGACTTAAAGAGAATAACGTCACAAACTTATCACCAATAACTTAAATCTTGGCAGTGGGTTTCCCAGACCGCTAGGCAAAGCCCTCCAACCTCTCAGTTCCATCTCCATCCTTCAACCTAGATCTCCGATCTTGAACCTAAACCCAAGCACCAATCCCGTACTGAGGCCTCAGATCCACATCAGAACCCTGATCTGTGGGACAACCCCTCCTCCACTGCCCTAGTGTCATTTCCCCTTCACAGTATGCAGGGAAATCCTGAATTCTCTAGTGCTACAAATCCTTTTGCATTGAAAAAGCATTTTTCTTTTACTATTAACAATTAGTTGGCATGTTCATTGAATGTGAATGTCCTAAAGTCAACAAGATATAAAAAAGTACATTATTCACCACATAAATGAATGGAGAAGTATATATTATTTACTTGTATTTTGAGATGAGGTGGTTGTGCAGATTTTTCTTGAATCCTTAGTGTTGTGATTTGATACTGAATCAAACCTTGTTACAACACAGTAAGTGAACTTGGGTTTTAGATTTTTAAACTGATAGTATCCTTTCCCTGAATCATCAGGCCATACTGTCTCAGTCTGGTGAGAAAAACACATAGTCATTAATCTAATGCTTATTACACAGAAAAATCATGAAAAAGAGAGATCAAATAACTCATACTTAAGCCAGGACAAAATTTTGTGGACTTTCAAAATTGCAGATAAAGATGGAAAATGTTGTAAATACTCAGCAGGTTCTGTCAAAGGAGAACCAGAACATATGAAAGGCATTTGTCTGAAACATTAAGGCTGAATTTCCCCCCCCCCCCCCCGGTGTAAGCAATGGTGAGAACGGTAGGAAAATATGGAGAAGAATGAAAAAATATCTAGAATCTCAACAGAGAAAATTATGTGCGATTTATCCCTCAAGCATTAAATGCTAACTTCAAAATCTCACCATTTACGGATGACTACTTCTGTGTATCTGCATCTGATTAAAGCCTCAGCTTGCCTTACTTATACACTACTTCCAATTCTCCCATCCTTTCCCAAGCTGGTACAAATTCCCAAAATGTTAAAGGAGCACAGTATCTGGCAGCTGCAGCTTGCCAAATGTGTTTCCTAGCCATGAGCCAACAGCTTCTTCACAACATCCCTGCATTCTCAAATGGCCACCATCCTCCATGACCCTTCATCCCATGCATATCAGCAGTGACAAATTATCAACTTCAACACATCATCATTCCTGCTCTGAACCAACCCACATACCACTTCAGTCCTTCAACACTTTTACTTTGGAGCTCAGGCACACCTATAACTTGTGGGCCTCCGCCAGATCATCTTTCATGCATCTCCTCATACATCTCCACAGGCTGCATCTTAGGGCTTTTGGTTCACTTCCTTTGCACTCATTCATTTTGCGCTAATTTTGGGGATGTCCAGCTCCTGTATCCTTCAGATTAGCTCATGATTACTGACTAACGGCCTGCTAGCCTCTGTATGGGTCATATTGCTTTGTTAGTGTCTAGGGTCTTTCATGCTGTCAGACTCTAGGCCCTTCCATCACTTTTTGCTGCAGAGGGAATGGTGGGCGGTTCATTATAGTGGGGAGCATTGAACAACCAGGAGGCTGGATATATCCCTGCACAGCACCGTGCTGCATCATCAACGGGTGCCAGAAATTTGCACAGTGAACACACTGCATGTGCTTCAAGCAAAAGACCACATGTGAATGTCTAAAGGGGGCAATCCTTAATGGAGTAAAGAGAGACTACGCTCAGTCAGGAGGTACCACCACTGTCAGTGAATGAGCTCATTCTATTATAGTCCAGGGTCTTGTGCCTGACTAATCACTGCCTTAGTCCTACCAGATTCTAGAAATCCAAGTCCATGCAAACCCAGGGATTGGGCTACAGTCAGGCAACACTGTCAAATGCAACCATTTTGAAGATTACAGGTCTAACAGTTGGGTTCAGTGGAGACATTGGCTGGGGGATCAGGCCAATTGTTCCTGCGAAGAGACAAAGGGAAGAGTTAAGCATGATGGAAGTAGTTGGAAGAGCAGTTAGGGACGTAGGAGCACAAGAGTTGGTGAGGTGTCCCAAGTGACCCAGCCGAAAGCACAGATGGCAGGAAGCGTCAGTAGGTTGGGAGGATGAAATCAGGGAAGGGCATTGAGTGGACATGCTGTGTGCAATAGTAAGGGTGGCAGTCCATGTCTCTTGGTGTGGCTGTGTTAGTTTGTTACTGGCAGAGACAGAGCGAGTGCTGACTCTGTCAGTGTGAGGAAGCAGAGAGCAAGTGATGGCACTTATTGTTGTATAGTCTAAATTAAAAGCTTATAGACAAAGCCTAGACATACAACTTCTAGTTAGTTTTATTTCAACCAGGCACACGCCTTGAAACTCTCCTACATTCAGGATGACCTTTCTTTATATACATTTGAACACAATTAACTAATTTGTTCACAATAGAGGTTTGGTTAGCTCAGGTGATTGCTGGCTGGTTTGCAATGCAGAGTGACACTAACAGTATGGGTTCAATTGCCACACTGAGGTTACTACAAAGGACTCTCCCCTTGCCTGAGGTGAAGTTAAACGACCACAAGTTGTGTCTCTCTAAAGAGAGAGCAGCCCTACAGTCTGGTAAGGTCCCTATCTGTGAAACAGGGAGTGAGTTTTCCTTTCCAGTGGATTGGGTCCTTAGTAATAAGAGTCAGGCAATGTTCCTGGCTTGCAGTGTCTGAAGTGATCTGCAACTGAGCTTTCAATATGGTGTCTGTCGTGAGAATGCTGCAAGGTCCCAGCAGCGACGAACATTTCCACATGTCCAGCTTCACAATTCCCTTAGATGAAAGTGCCCAAGAACTTGCTTGCGTAAGTGATGAGGTGGAAGAGTGGATGATTGTGAAAAGTTGCTCTGAGACGTGGCAGACTGAGTGCCATGATTCTCAGTGGATCCATCATCTTAACTGAAAAAGGGAAAATTCCACCTGTTATCTCCATTTGTCACTCCACAGTTGCTACTGGACTTCATGAGTATTTACAACATTTTCCATAACTACTTTATTCCTTAAACTGACACATTACATGCAACAATTCTGGATTAAGTTGATGCAGATATTTATCTGCATGCACAACAAAGCAGCATCAATGATTTATAACTCAGAACTTCTTAAAGAGTAGAGTTTCAGCACAACATTTTGTTCCTATATTAACAGTTAAAATAAAATTTCTAAAATAATCTTGCAGAAATAGTGTACAGATTTCCTATGTAGAACAAATGGTTTTATACAATGACAACAGCAGGCAATAACATTTTGATCAGACTTTACCGTCTTAATACTTGTATTTACTTTACATCAAGCGCTTGCAACAGGAATCAATGTACACCTGAAATATTTAGCAGAGGCTTAACTTGGAAGGGTCATATTGTTACCAGATAGGGTAAACGCTGGCCCAGCAATGTCTTGTAAATGGCATGCATATTGTTACTAAAAAGATGTTGCATTGCTCAATATAGCTAAGGAACATGGCTTCGGGAATTAGCCATTCAGACCATAAGCCTGTCACAACATTCAATTTGATGATGGTTGATCTTTACCTTAGCTCCATTTATTTATGGCCATACAGAGTTAGTAAAAGGTAATTTCAGATACATGGATAGCATTTGTCCATATAGTTAGTTGAATTCCTACCACAGTATAGGAAACAAAATTTTAAAGTAGTTCCATTTTGGTCTCAAATAGGAGAGCAGATAGGCTGTAATAGTACAGTCGGTTCTGCTATAACGCGTGTTCCATCAACGTAAATTGGCTGTAACGCGATTGACGAATAGAGGGACGTTATTTTTAAAACGTGAACTTGTGTTGGCTAAAACGCCATTCCATTGGTGCACCAAGGAGTACGTGTTGACATCACATGTTCATTTAGCGGGCTTTGTCGTGAATACGTACAACCGTTAGCGCCGAGTCTCCGCATCAGCATCATGTGATCATTTTGCAGGCTTTGTCATGAAGTGTTTTCTGTGAGAGATACAGGAAAACCTCCTCCCCCATCAAGTCACCTTGACATGTTTTTCAAAGTCGTGTTAAATTTACTTTTATTTCACTGTTAGATATGAATTAAACATTTATTCAAATTGTGCTATCCTTTGTGTTAGGCTTTTGAGTGACTTTTGAGCAATTTTGAGTGATTTTTCTTTGGTGGTCTACCCCAACCCCACTTTTCCCATAGGCCCCATTATTTCTATAGCACGATTTTCTATAATGCAATGTTGCACAGGCACGCAACTATCACGTTATAGCAGAACTGACTGTAATAGCAAAATCTTTCCTCTTCTTATTGACACAACACTTACTAGTGTAAACATGTAATTGCATGCCTACACACAAATACATATAAAATATAATAGTTACCGCATATTCTGAGCCATCTTTGTTGAGTAAGATAACAACATATTTTAGAGAGCGATCAATATCCTTCACAGTTTTTAGCTTATTATTTTCCTTTTGTGGAGTCAGAGGCATATCAAGAGTAACTTCAATGACCTGATTATTGCTCGTCACATTGATAATCGGGGGACCCAAGATGGCTGTATGAAATGATAAGGAAAAAAGCATTTAATAACTTAAAAGATGTTGAACTTGTTAATATGGTACACTGTCACTTTCTGGGGTTTTAGATAGATAATATTGTGCTCAGTATCATGCGTAATTGCAGAACCCCAGAACGCACCTTTCTTAATCCAATATCTAGCTAAACAATAGCAAGTATTTCTGCATCTCAATATACTATATCACCAGTTGACAATCTACTGCATATTCCCCTTCATGTCATTTGATGTTAAAGTATTCCAATGAAACAAGTCACAGGCATTGAACAGATAAGTAATTGATCTTCATGAATGAATTAACAAAGGTATTTTATTTTTACATTCCTTTAATTATGAAGCAACTCTTGTGCTCAGCATGTCCTGTGGATTCCCTGCCAAAATACTAGGCCTGAAAAATCGCAGGTGAGGAAGTGTGTGCTGAATCTTATGTTCTCTTTGGCTGATTCCAGGTGGGATTGAACTTTTGGCGGAGATTTTCATCATAAGGCCTGGCAAGTTCTCTCACCATACCTTGATAAATTCACCACCTTAACTACCTATGGCATCCCTATATTGACACCTCACTCAATCCCTCCCTGTCCCTCACTCCAAGGGTTGACATCCCATTACAGGACAGAGTGAACCCATATAGGTACAGGGATGCCCAATGTTAGTTTCTTCAACCCCTATGAAGAAGGAACCCTGTTCCTTCCAGGAAAAGACCGGGATTGCAGCTACGAGGGTAGTGAGACATCTATTCCCATCAACCAAGTATCATTCTTCATTCCAATTCTCAAATTAACAGCACTGGCACACTCCTTCATTGCATACTACGTGTAACCATTAGCTAAGATCACTGAACTAGCTGAGAAATGCCCAGATCCCCAACTGGAGGCTGTATATCTCCCCATCCATATTAGCCCCACTACCCAGGTTTGGCCGCTATGGAGTCACAGGACTGACCATGACCCACTCTCAGGACTGCAGGGGCATGGATCCTCTGACTGAGGACACTCCAGCCAGACACCTGACCGTGGCCAATCACTTGGAGTGGTATGGGACGTTGCCCTTGACTTGTTGCTGGGGGCCTCCTGACCGATGAGTCCCTCCATAAAACTTCAGTGAAGATGACACCCCCAAGAGTTGGAGTTGTGGCTGCCTGCTTGCTGCACATGTTGAGTGTTGCTCCATAAGCTGCTGGTACATGGTGCAAGGTAAGACTGATGTAGCACCCTGTCATACAGCAAGATGTCCATCCCCTGCTGAGCAGTGTGGCAAGCTGCCTGGTTACCCAGAGGGAAAAATCCACAAGAACACCGTAATACCAGAAACAAACATACTGCTCATACTAGGATACTGTTACAAGGTATACAAAAATAAGTCAGATCAATATGTATCATTTGCAAGTTTTATGGATTTTCCTTCGGGATGTGTGACTGTGTTCATTGGCATGGCAAGGCAAGGCCTAATGGCACGAGCAAGCAGGTAGGCACTAAGTGAGCCAGCGCTAACAGAAAAGCAAGCACCCTGGAGATGTAGCCTTGTCCACTATGTGAGCCAGGTACCTGTCTGTGCATGAAAACAATCTCTGCTGCAGCTTTCTCAGTTCTAGATGGCAGTGTGCACTGTAATGCTTCCAGAGCACTCTGCCAGTGTATCAGAGAGGTGCCATGATGGTCATCAGGGGTTGGCAAATGTCATGCCAATATCCACGGATGAGCATTAGGGGATACAGATTCCCAATGATCAAACCCTGGGCTGCAGGTTAATTGAACCCAGCATGCAGGTCATTGGGATCTCGTGGGGAGCAGAGGTCACCAGGTGACTGATTTCAATGTTCAACTTTTTTCGACGTCCAAATTGTTTGGCAAGTTTTGTAAGATAGAAAGCTGAATAATAATGAGGTGTGTTGAGCTGTCAATGAGGCATTTAACAAGCAACAACCCCACACCCCCCACACCTTAATTAGCAACTCGTCACTGCTATGTCGTTTGTCTAAAGCATAAGAAGTAGAACAAGTTGCTCCCGAATGGACTTCACTGGACTTCTTGTTCAATCCTGCCACACATCTCACCATAGCCTCAGTCGATAAAACTCCACAATATGTAGCTTGTTCTCTGATCTGGGTTGGAAATAGGGATTCAAACCCAGTTCAGAAGATTTGAGCCATTATTTACTATATCAACCAAGTACAGTCACTTAACATTTCACTTAGTTTATTCAATAAAATCCAGTGCTTCCACCCTAAAAAAACATATTTTCCCTAGCTCCATAACATCATTGCTAATGTCAAGAAGGACAGCTCCACCCATAGAGTGTTGTCATTCTGCAGTATCTGTGGCATAACTTCACAATGACTAACTCTTCTGAAATAACACCACAGAGGCCAGTATCCACTCACCAAATCACCCTGTATTTTCACAAGCATAGTACTTGACACTGATCCAGCTCCCTCAGAGTCAGCTGTCAAAGTGAACAGGTTCTCCAACACTCTTGTTTTTCTCTGTCAGCCAGAGCTCCCTGACTGAACCAGATTAACAGCCCCAGTGAGGGAACTCATATCCTATGAGGTCCACCTGACTGACCTTGTTTCAATCACTACACCTCCTAGACTGTACTTCTTTAGAAGACCAAACAAAAAAATGAAGTCTGAATGAGAGAAACAGTGATATGTTCAGCAGGCTTTCATCTTTGAAAGGGAAGAATTGTAATGCATTGAGTGTTTACTGATGAAAAAGATATCTCAATTCTGACAGAGCATGTAAAACACATTAAACACATCCATGCACAAAGCAGTCAACTTAATGTTGGCATTGCTAGTAATCATTCTAAAATTCGTAATAAAACTATTTTCTCATGCCGAGAAAACATCACCGATCTGCAACTTATGGGACTAATAGTCCTTGTCTGCCAATTCCAAACACCATCCCAAACATAAAAGAATTGCGTCATCATTTTCCTCCCCATCAACCTTAATGCAGGAAACTGTGCTTTCGGATGTATTGGTACAGGTGTAGCTCATGTACACAGCTGAACCTCGAGTCAGTGAGACCCAAGTGGGAGATTGTATCTGTTGCTCCCGATGTGGTCTCCTCTATATCGTGGAGTCCGAATGCAGACTCGGGGATCAGTTCGTGGAGCATCTGCACTCTGCATACACCAAACAATCCAACCTTCCACTTTAACTCCCCCTCCCAATCCCCTGGTGACATGTCCATCCTTGATCTCCTTCACTGTCAGAGTGAGGCCAAATGCAAATTGGAGGAACAACACCTCGTATTTCTCCTTGGGAGCTTACAGCCCCATAGCCTGAATATTGACTTCACCATCTTTAAAATCTCCCCTCCTACCACCTGCCCATCTTCTGACTCACCTATTCGTTCCACCCTTCCCACTGACTAACCACAATAACCCCCCTACCTGCATCACCAGCTTCAAAATCTCTCCACCCCCGACCTGTCTATCTACCCACTCACTTATCCACTCCACCCATCCCACTGACAAACCACAATAACCCCCTACCTGCATCCAACTATCTCCATCTCACCTACCTTCCCCCCAGCCCCAAACCCTCCCTCTATTTCTGGGCTTCCCTCCCCCTCCCCAGTCCTGAAGAAGGGTTCAACCCAAAACGTTGACTTTCCTGCTCCTCAGATGTTGTCTGACCTGCTGTGTTTTTCCAGCTCCACATTTTTTGACTCTAACTTCCAGCATCTGCAGTCCTTTCAGTTTCCAAATCTTTCATGTTAAGTTCTATAATCCATTATGTAGTTTATTTCCAGTTTATTACATGAACCAGAGATTAGACTTAGAGTTTAAATACTGCTATACCATCAAAGGATAGCAATAGTATGAAAAATAATTGGACTCCAAATGTATGCCATTGAAGAAGGGAACCAATTTTGTGTGCTTTGCAAGTTAATTGCCATGTTTAAAATAAAAAAGTAAGTTAGGTGTAATTAAAATGTTGAGAAACAATTACAGAATCAAAATAAGTAAAAGTAGCCAAAGCAGAATTTCAGGAAGTTCACTTTCTGACTAACGTAAAAAAACTGTGCATATATTTTCTACAATAGTAATCTTTCACTTTGACTGGAAGTTAGGGAAGGTTTAGCTTCAATCTCAGAGGACAGTGAATCTGTGGAATTCCTTAACAACCCAGCTATAATATACCCTCTGCGGTTATATATTCAAGGTGGAGATAGACAGATTTCTAAGCAGTAAGGGAATCAAGCATTATAGGATACGGCAAGAAAGTGGAAGTGAGGATTTCAGATTAGCCAAGAACTCACTGAAACGCAGAACAGACTCAATGGGCTGAATGGCCTACTCTGCTGCTATGCTTTATGGTCGTATGGACTGGGGACTCACATCTATAAACACATTCATGTGTGTATACCACTGCATCTTAAAGCCAGTAAATAAAAATCATCATTAAAATAATTGCAGCTTGAACAGTTTTTCACATTAACTGTTGTCGGCTGCTCCACTACCACGTCAGAAATTTTGCTGCCGTGTATTTTGCTCTTCAGCACATCACTGTGAACAGTGCTGCTGTGACTGCTGGGAGAAGCTAGACAACAATCCAAAGGAGAATTTCACTGTAAACCTGTTTCCTCCTGCAATGAGCAACCGAGCCTCTGCTCAGCATGTCCTTGCACAGCTTAGAGACTAAACAATTGTGTATATGGCCCCTCTATTCCATTGTTCTTACTACTGTTTTTCGAATATGAGGTACCAGGCCATCACTTTTACCTTCTGGTAAAATTTTTCTCAGGGCTGGCACAGTGGTTAGCACTGCTGCCTCACAGCGCCTGGGTTCAATTCCCAGACTCGGGCGACTGTCTGTGTGGAGTTTGCACATTCTCCCTGTGTCTGCGTGGGTTTCCTCCGGGTGCTCCGGTTTCCTCCCACCGTCCAAAGGTGTGCAGGTTAGGCAGATTGGCCATGCTAAATTGCCCGTAGTGTTCAGGGATGAGTAGCTAAAGTGGGTTATAAGG